GGAAGTGGAATTCAGGAGTGGAGGCAGGGAAAAAAGCACTTTCTGTGAAAAATCATGGAATTGGAGAATCCCGGAATTGTTTGGGCTGGAAGGGTTAAAGCTCATCCCATTCCAACAGGGACACTTTTCATGATCCCAACTCGCTCCAAGCCCTGTCCAAGGGACACTTCCGGGGTGGAACCCAAAGGGATGGAACCCAAAAGGATGAAACCCAAAGGGATGGAACCCAAAAGGATGGAACACGAAAGGATGGAACCCACACGGATGGAACCCAAAGGGATGAAATCCAAAGGGATGGAACCCAAAGGGATGGAACCCAAAGGGATGGAACCCACAGGGATGGAACCCACAGGGATGGAATCCAAAGGGATGGAATCCAAAGGGATGGAATCCAAAGGATGAAATCCAAAGGGACAAAACCCAAAGGGATGAAATCCAAAGGATGAAATCCAAAGGGATGAAACCCAAAGGGATGGAACCCACAGGGATGGAACCCAAAGGGACCAAACCACAGGGATGAAACCCAAAGGGATGAAATCCAAAGGGATGGAACCCAAAGGGATGAAATCCACAGGGATGGAACCCAAAGGGACGAAACCCAAACGGATGGAACCCAAAGGGACGAAACCCAAAGGGACAAAACCACAGGGACGAAATCGACGACCGCTCCGCGCAACAATAATTAAAATAAAAACCACAGCCCCCACATCCGCCCTTCCCTCTCACAGCGTTTTGAATGATTACGAATAAAGCAGCTGCTGCTCGGGGCAGAGCTGGGGCAGCCTCCCGGGGGGTGGCAGCAGCAGGACAAGCTGCCGGGGAATCGATAGGACGGCGGGGACTGTCCCCGAGCTGTCATCCCCTGCCCGGCTGGAGGAGGCACGCGGCGTTTTTCCAGCCCAGATCAGCACCATCAGCACTTCCTCCCTCCCTGGAGAAGCCCTGGATTTATTGGTGCTGCTTCAAGGGGTGCTGAAGGTGCCCAGAAGTGCTGAAGTCACGCGGGGGCCTCGGTGTCCGACCTTCTGCCGAGAGGGGACGGGGCTGGGGGGGAGGGCTCGCAAAAAACGAAATTGTTTTGTCCAGAGCTAACCAGAACCACCTCAAAATTAAAGGTTCATAAAGATCCCTGGAAAGCCGCGGGTTTGTTGTCCCAAAGAGAGCTGGGAATGTTCAGCTGGAGAAGGGAAGATCCAGGGAGAGCCCAGAGCCTTTTCCAGAGCCCAGAGGGGCCCCAGGAGAGCTGGAGAGGGACTGGGGACAAGGACGGAGGGACAGGACACAGGGAATGGCTCCCACTGGGAAAGGGGGATTTGGGATTGTGGCAGCTTCAGAAGGAATTCCCGGCTGGGCTGGAATTCCCAGAGAATCCCTGGGAGTGTCCCAGGAAAGGCTGGAGCAGCCTGGGATGGTGGGGTGGGAATGGGATGGGATTGAAGGTCCATGGATCCCATCCCAAACCTTCCAGGATTCTGGGATCCAGGACACTCAGGATCCATCCCCAGGGATTTTTATGGGATTTGGGGATGGAAAAGGGAAGGGAGACCCTTCCCGGAGTGCCAAATTCCCAGTGAAGCCCCTGGATCCCAAAATTCCTTCCTGGAGAAGATCTGGGATGGGGATGGATCCAACGCCAGGCTGGGAGAGCTGGGAATGGAGGGAATTCCCTGGAAAGGGGAGGAATTTGGGAAGGAATTCCCAGCTGGGCTGGAATTCCCAAAGAATCCCTGGGAGTGCCCAAGGAAAGGCTGGAAAATCCCAGAATGGTGGGGTGGGAACGGGATGGGATTGAAGCTCCATGGATCCCATCCCAAACCATTCCAGGGATTTGGGATTTTAAGGAATGCCTGCACTTGGGTTCCCCGTTAATTTTATGCAGCAGAAATGTTTAAATCTTCACCAGCCCCGAGTAACATTTACACAGCACAAGACATAAGGAGTTTTGGATTTTTTTGGAGTTTTATCAACTCCAAAGGAGGATATATAAAATTTTGAGGCAGGAAAAACCGAGACTGAACCTTTGGGAATTTCAGGAATTTCAGGAATTTCAGGAATTGATCTGGATATTTCTGTTACGTTCACCAGGGCTCTGGGAAACAAATCAATAAATTTGGTTTGGCATTTTGTTCTCATATTAATTTAAAACAATGAATTTTGAAGGATTTAAACGAGGACAGGAAAGGGGTAAAGGCCTTTTTTCCTTTTCTGCCCTCGGCTCCTCTCCCCACCTTTATTTTCATTCCTCCTCTCCCAGCTCCAGCCTCATCCTCGGCTCCCAAACCCAAAACCTCCCCAATTTCTGGGGGATTGTCGTTAATGCACGGATGGAGCCCAGGAATTCCACCTTCCCAGCAAATTCCCAAATTTCCTGCAGCAATTCCTTAACCACTCCTCACCCATCAGCAGCCAAGGATAATTAATATTAAATTAATTACAAAAAAAGCGAAGTCATTCCTCCCTCCTGAGTTCCCACCCCGGATTTGGGTTGAACCTGCCCAGGGTTGGCTCTTTCCATGTTTTTTTTTGGTCATTATTCCCATTTTTGCAGCACAAATTCCAGCCCGATCCCACAGAATTCCAGCTGCAATCCCATGGGGTGTTGAGGGAAGGGGTCAAGGTTTGGCAGCACAAAGAATTCCAGGAAAATTCCGCGCCAGGTCCACGCTCTAATTCCCAGAGCGTGGTAAAAAAATCATCCAGGAGCAGGATAATTAACATAAATAATGTAGATAATATAATTAATATAAATAATATATAAATAATATAATTAATATAAATAATATATAAATAATATTATTTATATAAATAATATAAAAATAATATTATTTATATAAACAATATATAAATAATATAAATAATATAAATAATATAAAAATAATATTATTTCTATAAATAATATATAAATAATATAAATAATATAATTAATAGAAATAATATAAAATAATGTAAATAATATAAATAATGTAAGTAATAGAAATAATAGAAATAATATATAAATAATATAAAAAATAATATAAATAATAGAAGTAACATAAACAATAGAAAGAATAGAATTAACAGAGATAATACCAATAAGAAATAATGACTGGAGCAGGAATGTGGAATTCCGTGCTCACCACTTCCAGTCTCTCACCCCGGCCAGAACCAGGATATTTTATTGAGGACAAACTCCAGGAATTCTGCACAAAACGCCCCAAAAAGGTTCAGAATTCCTTCCTGCCCTGCACTGCTGCATTTCCAGAATTCCAGCTGCAATCCCATGGGCTGTTGAGGGAAGGGGTCAAGGTTTGGCTGGGTTCTGCAGCACAAAGAATTCCAGGAAAATTCCGCGCCATGTCCACGCTCCAATTCCCAGAGCGTGGTAAAAAATCATCCAGGAGCAGGATAATTTACATAAATAATGTAAATAATATAATTAATATAAATAATATATAAATAATATAATTAATATAAATAATATATAAATAATATTATTTATATAAATAATATAAAAATAATATTTCTATAAACAATATACAAATAATATAAATAATAGAAGTAACATAAACAATAGAAAGAATAGAATTAACAGAGATAATACCAATAAGAAATAATGACTGGAGCAGGAATGTGGAATTCCGTGCTCACCACTTCCAGTCTCTCACCCCGGCCAAAACCAGGATATTTTATTGAGGACAAACTCCAGGAATTCTGCACAAAACGCCCCAAAAAGGTTCAGAATTCCTTCCTGCCCTGCACTGCTGCATTTTCCAGGGGTTTTTCCCCGGAGTGCTTTCCCTGGAATTTCCTGGAATCCTTTTGCTTTCTGCCTGTGTTTCAATCACTTCATTCCACCACAGGGATGTTTGTCAGTCCGGACAGCGCCAGCCCCGCCTGCCCCGGGCTCCTGCACCCCACTCCAATTTCTGCATTTACCCAAAAATCCCAATTCTGACTCGGGAAAGAAAAGACAAAAGCTGAGAAGGCACCAAGGGCTGAAGTCACTGCGCTGCTCAGCGCTGATTCCTCATTCCCATCGGCCCCGGGAATGATTTTCTATTTCCATTTATACGCGACAAAGACATGGCATCGGTAAGGAAATATTTGAATAAAGAGTAAAATATAAAAGAAATAAAATTATAAATATAAATAAATAAAATAAAAAAAATAATTGAATTTTTAAAAAAAAATAAAATTTGTTGAACTACCTCATCCAGAAAATTTAACCAAAAAAAAATTGAATTTTTTTTAAAAAAAAGATTTGTTGAACTACTTCACCCAGAAAATTTTAAAAAATAATTGAATTTTTAAAAAAAAATAAAATTTGTTGAACTACCTCATCCAGAAAATTTAACCAAAAAAAAATTGAATTTTTTTTAAAAAAAAGATTTGTTGAACTACTTCACCCAGAAAATTTTAAAAAATAATTGAATTTTTAAAAAAAAATAAAATTTGTTGAACTACCTCATCCAGAAAATTTAACCAAAAAAAAATTGAATTTTTTTTAAAAAAAAGATTTGTTGAACTACTTCACCCAGAAAATTTTTTTTAAAAATTGAATTTTTTTTAAAAAAAATATTTGTTGAACTACTTCACCCAGAAAATTTAAAAAATAAATTGAATTTTTTTTTAAAAAAAAGATTAGTTGAACTACTTCACCCAGAAAATTTTTTAAAAAAAATTCAATTTTTTTTTTAAAAAAAAGATTTCTTGAACTACTTCACCCAGAAAATTTAAAAAAAAAATTGAATTTTTTTTTTTTATATATTTTTAAATTGTTTTCCTTTCAGAACCAAATTTGTTGAACTACTTCACCCAGAAAATTTAAAAAAAAAATTGAATTTTTTTTTAAAAAAAGATTTGTTGAACTACTTCACCCAGAAAATTTAAAAAAAAAATTGAATTTTTTTTTTTAAATATTTTTAAATTGTTTCCCTTTTAGAACCAAATCTGGTAAGCGAGCAGGGAGTTTTCCATGGGGAAAAAAGCGAGAATTGAGTTTTTTTTAAAGGAATACTCACAAAAAACTGCTCCAGGTCCCTCTCCAGCCCCACGTTGGGCAGGTCTGGCATCATGTGCGCCACCACCTTGAAGCCAGCGTCCTTGGCCAGGTGGAAGGACTCACAGACAGCCTTCACCGTGTGGCCCCTGCGGGACAGACGGACAGCGGTCAGGAAAACTGGGATCCAGCTTGGTGTCCCTCGGAAAAAAGGGAATAAAAACATCAATTCAGGAATAAAAACTGCAGGAAAGGAGAAGGATGGAAAGCTGAAAATCACCCAAAATCCCTCTGGGAAAATGGAACCTCCCCAAATTTTGGATTTTGGGATTGGAATTGTGTGGGACAGGAGCTGACAATCAAACAAAATCCCTCTGGGAAATTTGATCCTCCCCAAATTTTGGGAATTGGGATTGGAATTCTGTGGGACTGGAGCAGAAAATCACCCAAAATCCCTCTGGGAAATGGAACCTCCCCAAATTTTGGGAATTGGGATTGGAATTCTGTGGGACAGGAGCTGAAAATCACCCAAAATCCCTCTGGGAAATGTGATCCTCCCCAAATTTTGGGAATTGGGATTGGAATTGTGTGGGACAGGAGCTGAAAATCACCCAAAATCCCTCTGGGAAATTGAACCTCCCCAAATTTTGGGAATTGGGATTGGAATTGTGTGGGACAGGAGCTGAAAATCACCCAAAATCCCTCTGGGAAATGGAACCTCCCCAAATTTTGGGAATTGGGATTGGAATTCTGTGGGACAGGAGCTGAAAATCACCCAAAATCCCTCTGGGAAAATGGAACCTCCCCAAATTTTGGGATTCCAGGAGGATTCCGTGTTTTTCCACACTGACACCAACCCAAACCCCGGGTCTGCCGGAGCCTGGGGGGATCTGGAGCCCAAAAAAGACCAAATTTCCACAGTTCTGGAGAAAATCCCATTTTCCTTCCTCCTCCGGGGCCCCACCGGGAGATTCCCAGCTGGAAGTGGGAGAAAAATCTTCCCACAAAATCCCGGCTCTCTCCAGCATTCCTGGACATTCCAGGGCACTTCCATCCCCTCCCATCCCTGTTCTGCTCTAAACTCCTGGAATTCCAATTCCAATCCCAATTCCAATTTCAATTCCAATTCCAATTTCAATTCCTCCCTATTGGAATTCCAGTTCCAATTCCTCCAAACTGGAATTTCAATTCCAATTCCTCCAGTTCCTCCCTATTGGAATTCCAATTCCAATTCCAATTCCAATGCCAATTCCCATTCCAATTCCAATCCCAGTTCCAGTTCCAATTCTAATTCCTCCCTACTGGAATTCCAATTCCCATTCCCATTCCAATTCCTCCCTATTGGAATTCCAATTCCCATTCCAATTCCAATGCCAATTCCCATTCCAATTCCAATCCCAGTTCCAGTTCCAATTCCAAATCCGAATCCAATTCCAGTTCCAATTCTAATTCCTCCCTACTGGAATTCCAATTCCCATTCCCATTCCAATTCCTCCCTATTGGAATTCCAATTCCAGGTCCAATTCCTCCCAACTGGAATTTCTTTTCCAATTCCAATTCCAATTCCCATTCCAATTCCAATTCCAATTCCAATTCCAGTTCTAATTCCTCCAATTCCAATTCTAATTCCCATTCCAATTCCAATTCCAATTCCAATTCCCATTCCCATTCCAATTCCAATTCCCATTCCAATCCCAATTCCAATTCCAATTCCAATTCCCATTCCAGTTCGTTCCCATTCCCGTTCCAATTCCCATTCCAGTTCCAGTTCCAGTTCCAATTCCCATTCCCATTCCAATCCCAATTCCAATTCCCATTCCCATTCCAATCCCAATTCCAATTCCCATTCCAATTCCAATCCCAATTCCAATTCCAATTCCAATCCCAATTCCAATTCCCATTCCAATTCCAATTCCCATTCCAATTCCAATTCCAATTCCAGTTCCAATGCCAGTTCCAATTCCCATTCCAATTCCCATTCCAATTCCCATTCCCATTCCAATTCCAATTCCAATTCCAATTCCAGTTCCAATGCCAGTTCCAATTCCCATTCCAATTCCCATTCCAATTCCAATTCCCATTCCAATTCCAGTTCCAATTCCAATTCCAGTTCCAGTTCCAATTCCAGTTCCAGTTCCCATCCCAATCCCAATCCCAATCATTCCCACTCCCATTCCCACCCTGCATTCCCCACTCCCTGCCCTTTCCCCTTTCTTTCCCCCCCACTCCCCTCGGGATAACAATCCCACCTCTCCGGGCACCCCCTGTTCATTTACACCCCAAATTAATTCCATTCCAATTATTGTTACCGACCTTTCCCCCCCTCCGCCATAAAATCCACTTTTATTTCAAATAAATTTATATTTTTTCAGTGTTTCCTGAGCCTTTTCAAGGCAGCGTCGCTGCCGACCCCGAGGGGAGCTTGCCTCATAAATAAAAATGATTTTCCGATCGGGAACGGAGCTGGAGCCGCATCAATAACTCGATTATTTCACTCAATATTTCCAATATTTTCTGCCTCAGAAACCTCCCTAATGACTGGGACGTCACGAAAAGTCGTTTCCAAATTAATTGCTTGTCAGCTGATATTTTGCCAGCGGGGAAATATTAAAAAGTTTCCACCCCAAACAACACACAGAGGTCGTTTCAATTAAAAAACAACAAAAAAAATTAATTATTCACCTTTTTTTTAAAGGGGATTTCAAGGCATTGCTCCAAAAATTGGGAGAGGTTGGGGAGCATTTCAGGAATTGGAAAATTCAGAGCGAGGAGCTCTGGGAAGAGACTTAAAAATTGAATTTGTGGGGGAAAAGAAAATGGGTTTTAAGATTTTAATATTTAAAATTTGATTTTTTTTGGGGGGGAAATGTGTTTTAAGATTTAAAAATGGGTATTTGGGGGAAAAAAAGGATTTTAAGATTTAAAAATGGGTATTTGGGGGAAAAAAAGGATTTTAACATTTTAATATTTGAAAATTGATTTTTTGGGGGGGAAAATGGATTTAAAAATTTAAAAATGGGTATTTGGGGGAAAAAAATGGATTTTAACATTAAAAATGTGATTTTTTTTGGGGGGGAAAATGGGTTTTAAGATTTAAAAATGGGTATTTGGGGGAAAAAAATGGATTTTAACATTTTAATATTTAAAAATTGGATTTTTTGGGAGGAAAATGGATTTTAAGATTTAAAAATGGGTATTTGGAGGAAAAAATGGATTTTAACATTTTAATATTTAAAATGTGATTTTTTGGGGAGAAAAGCATTTGAAGATTTAAAAATGGGTTTTTTTGGGGGAAAAATGGATTTATAAGATTTAAAAATGGGTATTGGGGAAAAAAACGGATTTTAAGATTTTTAATATTTAAAAATTGATTTTTGGGGGGGAAAAGGATTTTAAGATTTTAATATTTAAAATTGATTTTTGGGGGGGGAAATTGGTTTTAAGATTTAAAAATGGGTATTTGGGGAAAAAACGGATTTTAAGATTTTAATATTTAAAATTTTATTTTTTTGGGAGGAAAAATGGATTTTAAGATTTAAAAATGGGTATTTGGGGAAAAAACGGATTTTAAGATTTTAATATTTAAAATTTTATTTTTTTGGGAGGAAAAATGGATTTTAAGATTTAAAAATGGGTATTTGGGGAAAAAACGGATTTTAAGATTTTAATATTTAAAATTTTATTTTTTTGGGAGGAAAAATGGATTTTAAGATTTAAAAATGGGTATTTGGGGAAAAAACGGATTTTAAGATTTTAATATTTAAAATTTTATTTTTTTGGGAGGAAAAATGGATTTTAAGATTTAAAAATGGGTATTTGGGGAAAAAACGGATTTTAAGATTTTAATATTTAAAATTTTATTTTTTTGGGAGGAAAAATGGATTTTAAGATTTAAAAATGGGTATTTGGGGAAAAAACGGATTTTAAGATTTTAATATTTAAAATTTTATTTTTTTGGGAGGAAAAATGGATTTTAAGATTTAAAAATGGGTATTTGGAGAAAAAAAGGATTTTAAGATTTTAATGTTTAAAATTCTATTATTTTTTGGGGGGGGGGTGGATTTTAACATTTAAAAATGGGTATTTGGGGGGAAAAAATGGATTTTAAGCATTTTAATATTAAAAATTTGATTTTTTTTTTTTGAAAAATGCATTTTAAGATTTAAAAATGGGTATTTGGAGAAAAAAAGGATTTTAACATTTTAATATTAAAAATTTGATTTTTTTTTTTTGAAAAATGCATTTTAAGATTTAAAAATGGGTATTTGGAGAAAAAAAGGATTTTACGATTTTAATATTTAAAATTCGATTTTTTTTTGGGGGGGGGATGGATTTTAACATTTAAAAATGGGTATTTGGGGGGAAAAAATGGATTTTAAGATTTTTAATATTTAAAAATTGATTTTTTTGGGGGGGAAATGGGTTTTAAGATTTAAAAATGGGTATTTGGGGGGAAAAAAGGATTCTGTGAGGCTGGCATGACTGGAGAAAGGTGGAAAACAGCCCCAAAATCCCACCCCAAGAAGGTGTGGATTGGGATTGATGTTTCCAGGAGCCTCAGGGTGTCCCTGGGCCTGTCCCACCTCCCAAAACTGAATTTAGTGATGGTGCCAATAGGAAAAGAGGAGTTCAGCACTGGGAGAGAATAAATAAAATTAAAAATGAGGTGGAAAATGCAGGGGAAGGAGGGAGAACTGGCATCTTCCAGGTGAGGGTTTTTAAGGGTTAAAGTTTAAAATTTAACCTTTGCTCCTCTCTGAGTACCTGCACAGAAAAATCCCATTTCCGGTTAAAATCCACCCGTTTTGGGTTTTAAGGGAACTCAGGAAGGGTTTCTGGTGTCTTCCAGGTGAGGGTTTTTAAGGATTGAAGGGTAAAATTTAACCTTTACTCCTCTCCTGCATGGAATAATCCCATTTCTGGTTAAAATCCACCAGTTCTGGGTTTTAAGGGAACCGGGGAGGAGTTTCTGGTGTCTTCCAAGGTGAGGGTTTTTAAGGATTGAAGGTAAAATTTAACATTTATTCCTCTCCAAGAACCTGCACAGAAAAATCCCACTTGCAGTTAAAACCCACCAGTTCTGGGTTTTAAGGGAACTTGGGGAGAGTTTCTGGCGTCCTTTTAAGAATTAAATGTTAAAATTTAACCTTTACTCCTCTCCTGCAGGGAAAATCCCATTTCTGGTAAAATCCACCCGTTTTGGGTTTTAAAGGAACTCAGGAAGGGTTCCTGGTGTCTTCCAGGTGAGGGTTTTAAGGATT